CACACAGCCAGGCAGACGAGCTCCGAGCCAGCTCCCATGTCAGAGGATGAAGAGAGCACATCCAGTTAGTCACAGTCAGAGAAAATGCAGGCTGAATTCACAGGACTTTATAAACAGATGTTCTGCAGAATATGAAGGTCTGCCAGTCAATTATTGTCCATGGATGAAGGAGAAGCTAATAGAAGCTCCTCAGAAAGCTTCCCTCAGCAAACATTTATCAGATGTGGGAACATTTGAGCTCAGGGCCACTGGAAGTCATTTTGAACAGGGGTTACTGTGAATTTTTTTTGTTATTTTTTGGACAAAAGACCTTAAATAGATTGAGATTCACAACTTTCTTGTCATATACACTTTAGTACAATCAGGGCGTGTAACACAAAGACATCATTAATCAGGAATCAGGTGACTATATGCGCTATTAATTAAACTTTACAATAATAAAAAAAAAATCGGTGGCTTCGAAAAGCCGGCATTCTCAAAGGTTATTTTTCTTACATTTTTCTCTAGGTGTGACTATTTTCTAACTGCTTTCAGACAAATGAAACACAAACTATGATCAGTGTGTTTCACATAATGCAGCCGCTGCAAACCAAGCCGGTGCCACTGAACCTGAGAACGTTTCATTACCTCGACACCAAGCAGGAAATTTTAAACTGGATGTTGGCGGGAAGGACTTGTCCAGTCCAATCATGCTAGGTTGGGTTGCAGGTGCTGGGGCTGCTGTTGCACCTGCCATCAGAAGCGGGCGCCGCGTGGACAGTCTGCTCCCTCCGGCTGCTCTCAGGCGTCGTACCAGAGTTCTTCTTCACTAGATGTGGTTTTCCGAAAAAATCCGAAATGTGTTTCTATCATTGGACTCTGTAATTTACTAATCTGCTGCAGTGATACCTCGCCGACCAATGGCTTGCTTGACGTCACCATGACAACGCAACTTTGGGGAACTTATGTTGATGATTAGGCCTAAAAATATAATTAAATTAAAATCCAAATAGATGTTATGGTAAAACAAAAAAAGTCGAAATAATTTTCCAAAACATTCATAAGAAATTTATAAAATTGTGCAAAGTCTCCTCTCGCCACTAGGGGGTGCCCTTCCCGCAGCCATGTTTTAGCACATTGAACCATTATTTGAACAAACCCAGTTTATTTCATCTGAAACGTAGATGGGATGATATCAGGGGTAGGAGGAGTGATCCCAGAGTACAACAATCCAAGCCAACTACGGTGTGGTCTTTCCTTAGGTCTCTACTCTGCAGATATTTCTACATCTAAGGGAAACATATTCCAGGACATTCAAACTTTTTTCTTTTTGGTACTATATTCACTCTTTATATTGTCTGTTGTATTTTTATCTTTAATGACATCTTGCTTTAACTCTTTGCGGTCTATATAAGCTACTGGAACCAGACTTTCCCTGCAGAAGTAATCCCACGGGATGAATCTAATTGAGTCCAAGTCTAACTGAAACAAACATTAGAAAAAACCTTGGTCATGTTCTGTGGACGGTTAAAGGCTGGAGCTAAAAGGATGAAGGATGCAGCGATACGACTCAGTAGCTGGAAAGATTTTAGTGTCACAGATAATTGCAACTTCAGCCTTTTCAACACAATCACAACTCAAATATGGTTTAAATGAGACATTTTGATTAGTTTAGGTTCTAATTTTAGTTTTCACTCTTCAAAAGTACAAAATGCATCAGAATACAAGCATTTTATTTCTCCTTTTTCCAGTGTCATTTTTACCAGTTCCTACAGAATCTAACATCCAGGATCATTTTAGAACCTAGCTCCACCAGATTAGCTCAACTTCCTCTGCAAAACAGTGAGTAAATAGTGAAAACACACTTTACATTTACATCAGTTTAAAGCAAAGGATTCTGACATTCACAGTTAGAAACAAAATATGAAAAAAATGTTTTTACACAGCGAATGACGTCTATCAACGACGATGCAAACGAGACGTTTTTAAAGTGTTTTCTACATCCTGAAATGTGCTCTCTGCCTGCCCCTTTGGATATTACCATGGCAACCAGAGAAAACGGGTGGGAACCACCATGGCAACCAGAAAAAGGCAGGAAGAAATTACCATGGTAACCAGAGAAAACGGCGGGAACCACCATGGCAACCAGAAAAAGACAGGAAGAAATTACCATGGTAACCAGAGAAAACGGCGGGAACCACCATGGCAACCAGAAAAAGACAGGCAGAAATTACCATGGTAACCAGAGAAAACGGCGGGAACCACCATGGCAACCAGAAAAAGACAGGAAGAAATTACCATGGTAATCAGAGAAAACGGCGGGAACCACCATGGAAAAACCATGGCAACCAGAAAAGGGCAGGAAGAAATTACCATGGTAACCAGAGAAAACGGGTGGGAACAACCATGGCAACCAGAAAAAGACAGGCAGAAATTACCATGGCAACCAGAGAAAATGGCGGGAACCACCATGGAAAAACCATGGCAACCAGAAAAGG